ATGTCACAAAAGCTACGCTAAGGTCGTAACCTTCCCAAAGCCCCAGCGCAAATTCACTGACCTTGGTACCGAAAGGGACCAAATGGTGAGTACATCGCTGCTGGAGAAGGCCAAGCTGCTGTTCCGTCCACAAAAAAAGTTTTTGGAAAGGATTTCAACCTTCAGTGAAAGATTGCTAAAAATCTTTCCTATTTGTTCTTTTCAGCCTGGCAGAACGATGGGGAAGCGTGCCTTAAGGGAAAGGTCACTATGGAGACCACATCCTACCTGTAGGGAGGTGATGTGGAGATACTGATATGGACTGACCCAGGGGGCAGTACTACATATGTAATGGGTCTCTGAGGCAGGTCCTACCTTAGAGTAGGGATAGAACAACTGCCAGAAGAGACTGACAGAGCAGGTCTGTCAAGGGAAGACACAGGTTTACCGAGAGGGAAACCTTACCGTGAACAAATACACATATGGGATTACCCGTAGGGAATCAAGTCATATGGACACCTAGCCCAGTACAGGGGCTGACCGGGACTCCGGGCATGCTAACACCAGTACTGGGTACCACTGCCGGGGGTGCTGGAGGATGCTCGACCAGGGTTCGCCAACCGGGGAACTCTACTGGGAGAAGAAAGGTGCTCGCATCCCCATTTGAGGGGGAATTGCGCAGCAAGCGTGACACCGAGCCAGATCTTCCCGCCAATTACCTGTTACCCAACACACGGGAAGAAACCGGCTCTACACGAAGGTTGTAAAACCTCGTGAAGGTGTTAGGTGTCACCCAGCCCGCAACTTGACAGATGTCTTCCAGAGAGGCGAACTGAATCGCGTAGCCGAGTCGAACCGTCCGAATGAGCCAGCAGGACGGGTTGGGTAACGCAATCCACGCTCCCAAACTCCGTACGAGTGGCACCAAAGGGACAGTCGACGTACCCGCAGTGGTGCATCGATGGGGAGTTGTGTTGGGTGGCCCAGAAGGCATCGCGTTCTGAGTCATCGCAGCAAAACTCCCTGTGTCCCCGGAGGGACTGGCCAGAGACGCGTGGAGAGGCGTTGCGTCTCCGAACCGCGACCTCTTGGCCAATGGCGATAGAGGGCGTCGTGGGTGAGAGTGAGGAAGCGGTGCATCGCTCACTGTCAACCCACGAGCCTTGCAACCCGGAGGAAAAGGAAACTGCTCTTTTTCTGACAATGTGGTCACTGTTGGCCATTGAGCCACCGGCGGAACAAAAAGAAAAGGGAACAGAAGATTCTTCCCCTGGCCCTCCTCCGGGGGAAGGAGCGGTGCTGTGTTCGGGTTGCCCGTGTCAGGGCCGCTTCGTTGTCTTAGCGGCCGGGTGCGACACGGGGGGGCGCCACTCTCCTGCGTGGGGCTTGACGTGCCAGCCTCGACGGTGTCTCAGCACGGGGCGGAGCTGGAGTGGAGGGCGCACACGGCGACGAGCAGGCTGGGGCACGGCCTGCGACGGAACGGTGCCAGCTGGAGGGTCACGTCAGGGCAGGATGTGCAGAAAGTGCACTTTGTCGACATCTCTCGTCTCGGCCAGGTTGAGCCAGAGATGGCGCTCCTGGATCACCAGAGTGGACATCGCCTTCCAGAGGGACCGCGCCGTGACTTTCGTCGCCCGGAGGGTGAAGTCAGTCGCCGTGCGCAGCTCCTGCATCAACCTCGGGTCGGTACTACCCTCGTGCATTTGTTTTTGCGCCTTGACTTGGTGTACCTGCAGGATAGCCATGGCATGCAGGGCAGAGACAGCTTGGTCCGCAGCACTATAAGCTTTGGCAGCGAGAGCCGCCAACAGCTTACAGGCTTTGGATGGGAGACGCGGACGATTCCTCCAAGTGGCGGCGTTTTGCAGGCACAGGTGCACCGCAACCGCTCTCTCCACCTGGGGAATGTCTATGTACCCCCTAGCTGCCCCACCATCGAGGGTAGTGAGGATGGAAGAGGGAGACGAGTGGCTTCTGGCCGTGAAAGGGGCCATCCACGACTTCGTCAACTCTTCATGCACCTCCGGGAAGAAAGGAACTGGGGCAGGATGCGGTTGTGAGCCGCGCTCCGCTCCCAGAAACCAATCATCCAGCCGCGAGCGCTTAGGACTGGGCGGTGTAGTCACCTCCAGCCCGATGCTCACAGCTGCCCGGGCAAGCATGGCCGACAGCTCTGGATCAGATTCGGCAGTGGCGACAACACCCGAGGGGGGCAGCCCCGCCGAATCTTCATCCTCAGAGCCCATCCCTTGATGCTGCAATCGACATCTGATCCTCCAGTGGACCACCGAATGACACTCTGGGACTGCTGTGAGACGGCCCAGCAGAACCAGTCGGCAGCCGCACAGGACATGTACTGCGGGAGGAGTGAGAGGTCCGTGGGGCGTGGCCTGGTGGAGGAGCTCTCACTATTACCCTCAGATCTCCCAGAGCACTAGCCAGCGGTCCTCTGCTCGCGGCAGAGAAACCGGGACGGGTAGTGACAGAGTGGTCTGCTCCACTCCCCTTGAGGAGAGAGAGAGGCGATCGCAGCGATACATAACTTAAGACACATAACTCATCCACGAACGCCGCTTCAGCGTGCTGAAGGCCCAGACACTGAAGACAGCGATCGTGGCCGTCAACAGAGGACAGGAAATGACCACATCCAGAAGGACACGGACGAAACGTCATCTTGAAAAAGACACGAATCGTCCGTGATTTGCTCTTTTAGAGGAAAAACTGCTCTTTCAGTCGAAGCACCCTGGGGAATCACTGCTGCAGGGACACCGCTGTACTGCGCCGTAACACCAGGAACAGCCCTCTTTCAACACAAAAATGAATAGGCTTTGTAGTGAAAAACATCAACTACTCGGCTCCGAAGCAAAAAATCTAATGAGTGGATGTGCGCTGTCGCCTTATATACCCGTAGGCACGGGGAGTGGCTCGGCATGCAAAATCCACTAGCCAATTTTCATTGGCGTTTTCTCTTAAACTCAGAGATGATGGGCCTCCCAAGTGAGACCTCATATGTCGTTCGACAACTCGTAGTGACCGACAGATAGGGAACTAATAGTTTTGCCAAATGTTGTTACTTTAACTGCTCTTCTTTAATATTGTCTGTCTCAAACTGATGTTTACACAGGCTGGGTCTAAATACAGTCCAGACCAGTTTGATCCCTGCTCACCAGCCCAGCCCAGGGGTGTGAAAACTGGAATAATATCATTTCTGTTTTTTAGTGGTAACATCTTATGGTTTAGGGTACAAATGCTTTTAGAAAATGTATTATAAGAATACATGTAGTATAAGAAATTAATTACAAATACATTAATACAATACATGAGTGAACATTGCCAGGTCATATTTCATTCAAATGTGAAAGAAAAAAAAAAGGAAATTATAAAGATCTTGAATTATTTATACATTATGGTTATATTGTACTGCCTTAAATTTATGCTGATTTTAAATTATTTTTTATTTTTTTTTTGGATAACTGTTGATGACTAAAATTAGAGTAAAAAGTTCTAATCTCATGTGAGAATATATGCAAAATATATATATAATTTTTTTTCTTTTTTCTTTTAATTTGGCGGTGGAATATGACACAGACTTGTTCATGAGGTTCACACGCAATACCTATATGTTTTAAAAACAAC